AAATACTAAAAAAAGGGAAATGAATCAAAAACCAAACTTAACAACACGCGCGGTTTTAATTAGTTGACGTTATCCCGAGCGCACTGTAATAAGAAAAAAATGCGTTTTCGCAAAAATCAGAAGTGGGATGACATGTTAAATTTTTTGGTACAAATGATGAGGCGCGTGTTTAAATTAGGCCCTCAATTTGTTGCTATTAAAATAGTGAGTTTAGTTTAAGTATAACTTCGAAGCCCGTTTGATGATCTGGATGAGTTCGCTCCGACACTGATGGCGAAACGGAGTTCAATGGACGAAATTTACCCACGGCCACAATCACACCGGTCAAAGCGCTAAACACCACAGATTTAAATCGATAAACAATAGAGCAGAACAAGATGTATATGTATACTAAATGTAGTTAGATACAAATAAGGAGCAGCACGAAAGATTCGTCTAAATTTATTGCGAAATGTAACCATGTTTCTAGCTTACTAATAGTAGAAATCAGATATAAAACAAAAATTATGTAGAGTAGAGAAGACAATAAATTATGACAGCATCGTAGTTGGCAACGTTTATCATTTATTAAAATTTCGAGTGTTGGACGAATTGTTGTGCCAGATCTGTGATTTATAGCACCATGAAAGACACCAACTATGTGAACATCGATACTGATTTTAGTCTGCCAACTCTGAAGATACACCTACGGTGAAACTAGTTAGATGAATAGCGCTGTCAAAAGATAAGTGCGCATAGTATTTAATCGTATTCTATCGTATATTTTATAAATCAGAGGATTGTGCGGATTCGCAAGAATGTGATACTAATCAAAAATTTGAGGATTTTGGCGTGATGAAGTCACTTTCAACACGCCGAAACCTAGTGTTTAAAAATAAAAGAAATAAAAAGAAAAAATGCGTTTTCGCAAAAATCAGAAGTGGGATGACATGTTAAATTTTTTGGTACAAACGCTGAGGCGTGTTTTTAAATTACAACCTCGTTTTGTAGCTACTAAAGTGTTATCGAAAACCAAATCAATAGATTTGATTGTCGCAGGCTTTTTTGCTATAACAGAAACTAACATACTGTACATATGTATGTACATACCTATATCCCTATATATGTGATATAGCTGCATGTTTGTAATACAAGAGATACAGTGACTCGAACAATGAACACGTATTTTTTTTTTAATATTCGTAATATTTTTCCAGATCATTTTTTTTTTTTATTATTATTTTTATATAAAAATAGCATCTAATTAATCAAAACCGTGTAAATCACAGTTTCAAACTTTATACAAAGTTTAGGAAAATTCAACAAATTTTCATGAAAATTTCAACTTTTTATTCTGAATTTATAGGAAATTTATGGGTATGCAGTTTTATAGCCCATACAATTTTAGTCTAATGAAGTGCAAGTTTCAAACAGCTCAAAAATCACGTTGATTTTGAGTTTTTTTTTTTATGTTACTTTTTCGAGTAATGAAACATCTTAAAGAAATATATAATTAAAAGTAATTTAATAATATACATAATAAAAACGAGAGCATTGCGTACACACAGCTGAGTGTTAGCTTGTAAAATATGTACATACATATGTTATATGTATATTCTTACATTTCTTTGATTGCTATAATCGTAAAATTATAATTCTATTATTAAAAGTGAAATAATAACGAAGATATGGGTAAAAATTAAAAGTTCACGTTCACACTAACGTTGAAGTGTAGGTATATGTGCATATGTATAAAGCCAAAGCTATAATTGCGCATTCATATGTATTCCAGAATTCCGTTATGGCGCCAAATAAGAAGAGTAAAGTTTGGAAGTATTTTTGCAAATTGGACGACAAAACAGCGAAGTGCCAACTGTGTCATAAAATTATGCGCACGGCTGGAAATACCACCAATCTAATGGGACACATAAAAAATGTCCACAAAGCAATTTTTTAGAACTAAAAACCACAATCGATTCCAGAAAAATATCCGATGTGGTCGAAGTGGTTGAAAGCCCAAACACC